GTTTATACACAAATATAGAACGGAGACGGCAGAGACACTTTAGGTCGAGCATTGTTGCGTATATATATGTGACCAACGAGGCAGGTCATAGTATCATAGTCGCAAACGATCCAGGAATGCTGGATAGTTAGATTAGACCTACTTGTCTTATAGACCCTAGTGGCCACGCATTTCGATCACACCTATAGTCAGACACTATGTCAACACTCTCATCTAATCACACAAGTCACACGGCATGTTGATTTGTCAGTGCTTATACCACACCTAGCCCAGATGTAGAGACCACCTATGTGTCCAAGAAGAGGTATCATGTACGACAGTGCGAAATAAGAGTTCAGAGTTATCGCAGATTCTCTGAGTAGCTGTTCATGAGCACGTGACCACGTGACAGATATATATGAGGTATGGACAACGTCTTCACAGAGGTATCTAACAACATGGCTATGCACTAGCTATAAGCGATGAGAGATAGACCACAGCAGGTAGTTAGTAGTCACACGACACCATATCTTTGTCACGACTACGAACTGTAACGAGGACTGCGTTGATGAGATCACTGAGTGTCTCATAGCAGAGTGAATTCTCTTATTTTTCTGATCCAGCACTTCTACTCTAATTACAACCCACACTCCGAGGCTAGAAATAATTGTTTGTATCTGTACTTAAGACCACACATGATATATATATCTAGATACACTTCGCTCGTGTATATTGTCAATTTTCAAACACATTGTACAATACACACGATAGTTGTGTGAATTCCTTAATCATACTATATCCTACACTCCAACTAACACCTTGAATAAGAATGTGATGTGACCTGCTTAAGTTCTGACAGAGAGAAGGTGTAGACTATCCTTGTGATTGTTATTTATAAATCGGCCATCACCACATAGTGTGATGAGAACAGAGAGACTATTGATCAAATAGATATGTTACGCAGGCTGAGTAGCTGTGTCTCTATTCTGAATGGTTTTATAAAACACTTATAAAGCACATATATAATACGTTACTTATCAAAAATCACTCTCTGACAGAGAAGCCACAGCTAATTATCGGATGAGATACCCATAGTGATGACAATACAACGCATGCATTGCAGTAAGATCACAACAAAATATATATTGTTAGCATAACCCTACACCAGATACATGATGAGACTGTTTCATGAGCAACATTTGCCACTATTTACATCTTACTAAGAGGTAGATTAAGAGCCCCCCCCTATTACACCTGACTTTAACCCGTATTATGCTACTGTAATCCCATTGCAATTTTCACTTTGTCGCTGTACGTTACTCTTGTTTTCTAACGCGCAAATGTTCATCACGATGCCCAATCCTATATTGGTGACTATTAAGTTCCACTTTATGATTTTACTAGTAGTTTTGTGAGCCTACTGTGTAACTATTGATCATAGTCATAGTATTGTATTTCTACTTACATGTATTCTTATGTATATACCCACACAATTTTAATAAAGTGTAGAGACATTGCAAAATAACTGTGTCACATGATACTGTCTGATACTACCTATGTTGAGAAATGTACCTACATATGTGTGTCTGACATGTACTATCACACTATTCTATCGATATTACCTGTGTATTTGTTCTTACTCAATGATTACTCTTTTTAGCTATTATACCTAATTAAAATATATAGACATCTAGTGTATCTTAGTATTCACGCTAGTGTGTAAAATCGCAAATGGTGAGCTATTGACTGAACTATAGATAGAGACATTAGATAGATGATAAAAAATTATTATGTTAGTATCTAATTCAATCTTTAGTTAATATAATAGTAAAACAGATTAGAGAGCATTAGTAGAGTAGAATACTATGATAAGTACACAAACCACAAAATATATGATTTAAATCAATCCCCACCAAAATAATTAACACACTTTTTGTATTTACACGTATATCTTTAATTTAACAAATTTAATATCGTCACTTATTACATACAATCTGTACAATTATGGTAATTAACTAAAGTAACTTCATTTCTGTGCAAAATAATTACGCACATACATTTATACGTGACATTTATTATTTCATATGTACCAACTATCATATAATGTATATAATTGTCGTCCCAGACTTAATTATCTACTATAAAAACCTATTTTATATTTAGTGCATTTAACATGATTAGACAGACTACACGACGTACACACATCGCTATTAACTATTAATAATGTATGTCACACATGTTTTTTAAGTCCCCTGATTCCCATAACAAACAATCCTACTAACATCGACGACATCTCACAGCTTATTTTATCAACAAACATCCACACATACAAATCTGATATAGTCACATCACACATAATATACTTTTCAGCCCCCCTCGGAACAGTGTGCATATTTCCTAATTTGTATATTCATTCCTAACCAATTATGTATTATATATACGTCTGTCGACTGTACGGCGACACAAGTATTTATATCACATATGACATACTGACATAAATTGTGTGTAATATCACGTTGTGTATCCCACTAATGAAGTATAGAGAGTGTACTTAGGGATCATGAGTGCTTGAGATGTCAAATCGATGCTATGCTAATTCCCCCACCAGCCACCAGATGCTTCTCACCGAATGAGCTTCACATCTCGATTCAATGTGTAGAGTATATTTTATGTGATGTGTGTAATAAATTTTATGTTTCACTAGTCACACCATGCTATTAAATCACAAGAGA